TAAAATGAGGTCACCAGGCAACAGTTTCTCATAAAGCCCACTCTTCTGGGTCAATGTTTTATCGGAAACTCTACCTCCAGAACATCTTGACACTGCACCAGTAGGTGAAATGCCTTTTAAAACTTTGATAGTATTGTGATGTTTGTAGCGACTGTATGTGTGTGCTCTAAGTTTGAGATCTGAAGGACGTTGCATAAATATTTCAAAGCAGTCAATGCGCTGATGACTGTTGTTTTGCGATACTTCTTTGACTTCTTCAAAGCTTTGGGAAGAGTGCGTCTGAGAGTGTTTCTATCTGGCCAATGTATCATGGCTTCATCTTGCCAGCCATGTGCTTAATCCATAAATTAAATATCTTGGAAGCGCTGGATCGTGAAATTTGAAAGCGATCCGCTCTGTCATCAAAAAGTAAATCCAGCATAAGCTTCATAAGAACTAAAAATAACTGATCCTTTAAATTAAGACATCTGAAAAAAGAAGAAGACATACTCTGAACAAGCTGATGAATAACCACACAAAAAAAACTAAATAAGAAGGAAAACCGGTATAGAATTTACATTTTTTGTCAGATTTAATTCTATCATTGGACCACTTTAGTTTGTCCACTTTACTGTGTAGGGAGCAAATATCAGATTTTAGACTTGCTATTTCATCACGGTACATTTTGTGTGGGTCACATTCCTGCACACAATCTGCTTTCATCCACACAGCAACTAGAATTAGGCTTTGTATTAGGCCAAAGAAATGCTTCTGATTACATGGCACTTAAAAATTTAATAGAGTACTGGTAAGGTATACATGTAGGGAAAGCTGTGATGTGCTGTTTTTTTACCCATTCAGGGTAGGTAGGGTAACCGGATGCAGAACTATTATTTTTTTGGCCTAAGTAGAGTAAACTTATACACATTAAACAATGTTGTATGTATTTAATCAAAGTACACAATTAATTTTTATTTTTTATGCATGATACAAAAAATTGATGTGTAAAAAAAAAAAAAATTACAGGCGGCGGCTTCAAAAAGGCATGTGGGCGGGGATGATAAACTGTTTTGTTTTTACTTGGCCTGAAAATATTTACATACAAAAAGTTTAAAATTCAAAATATATTAGTCCTCAAAAAAATTCCATGACTATTAATTTACTTTTCAGGGTCGGAATTCGAGAAAAGAACTAGGCCAAATAATAAAGAAACACATGTTTAGCGTTCTCGCCCGCTTGCTCTTTGCAGGCCGCCTCTTATTTCATTTTTTTTAACAACCAAAAAATGAAAAATCTTAAGCAGTGACATCATCTTGGCATCTTTGTCTGTTGCATCTAGCCCATAAAAAGCTGGTATGTCATTTCCTGAGTCCAACGGAGATAAAAAAAAAAAACCAGAAAAAAAATGGCAGCCATTTTGCAACATAGCCTAGTTAGGTGGCCATTTTGGAGAATTAAATCAATCAAAGGGCCTCCCGCTTCCTTTTTTTCAAAAAGGCAGGCATTAGGCCTAAACATGTTTTTTTATATTTGGCCTTACATGAGACTCCATCAGTTTCTATCTTTTCTTTTCATGCCGCGAGAACCCTGATACTTCTCTCACATCTCATTAAGTGAAGTGATATTATCAAAAAGGAGACTGATAGTGTATGTAAATCCAATGTGATTAGAAAAATGTAAACATACTTTGTCACTGGGTCTGGTTCCAGCTGTGGCGTGGATGGTGAACTGGTAGTTTGCTTCCTCTTTCGATCTGAGCGCTTCTGCCATCTCTCGTAACGTTTAAGTTGCTCCTGCCCTTTCCTGAGTTGTTCAGTTGTAGTTCCACTAAATACAGTTGGAACGAAGTCCACATGATTGTCATCTCTAGAGTAATTTCCTGTAGAATCCCAAACCAGAAAAGATAAAGAATAATTAAAATGAAATTAGGTTATGATGAAATTGCAATGAGCCCAGCTACATTTATTCCCCTATTTCTTTGCATAATACTATCCATTCATCAACTACCTATGACTCGAGTATGACACACACATGCATGTAAGACCTGGTGAGTTGGGTTTGTTCAAATTTTTCAGACCAGTCTCAGTCATACTGTGGGGTTTGTTTTTGTGTACTGACGGGGTGTCACAGTCAGTCAGTGTATGCGATAACGCACATTGTACATGTATTATTGTTTAGGGGAAATTATAGGGGCATTGAATTTTATGGAACTCTTTCCAGCAAACTGACAAACTGACAAAGCCTCAAGGCTCAAACGTGACACTGTGGCCTCAGATAAGTTTAATACTATGGTTAGATATTTTTTGAAATGAGCACTGCTTTTAGCCAATTTTTTTTTTATTCAGACATGTCAAATGTTTGCCTAGAACCATAGGCCCTTCAGTTCAGTGTTAAGGCTCAGCCTCAGTAACCATGGTAAAACGGTTAGGCCTAACGTTATGTTTGGCATAGAATACATGCAATGCGCAAGTAGAACATACGCAAAGAACTTAAGCGCGTCATTGACGGTTCAAAAAAACGTGACGGCAAACAGCATCTGCAGCGAATACGCACACGCGTTGCGCTGTATGCGTAGAGCAAAATGACACGCTCATTTGCTGATCGTGCGTTTCGGTTTTGGGCGTATTGGCTTCGATAACGCACCGGTATGGAACACGAACGCAGATATGCAAATAGCCGTACAAAAGCCGTACAAAATGTCTAGGTCTCGATAGGTTTATGCACAAACACGGATGCGCCCAGCAGGCATTACTTTGTACACGAAGTTAGCGCTCTAGTAATTTAATATAGTTCTATGGGTCACCCCCAAACCCGGTCATTATCACGCAGTGAAGACCGGCTCCTCACACTGTTATTCCCTTAATAATACTGTTAATAAATTACAATATTAATGAACAATGTACATGTACTGTATGTAGTATGACTGCTGCGATACATTCGCAGTCAAGCAGCAGCTGCGGTAGTGGCGCAATTCATCGCGTTGATGAGTAGACTGGTTCCCGGTCCCTCTATCGTTGGTTCAGACATGGGAGTGGGACCAAATAAGACGATAAGACCTTCTACAAACAACCTCCAACCTTTTATTTCACTGTAATAAATGTGGTGAGTTAATTTATGAAGGTGTTTTTACATCTAAAAAAAGCCTGGTTTACTGTAATCAGATTTCTGTGAACACCACGATACAAAATAATATGTCAACAATTTAAAAATGAAACCTTTCAATAAAATTGGGCGAATAATTCTAGATTTGGAAAGATTGCAGTATATCACCTCAATGTAATGGTAAGTCACCGCGACTATATTTGACAAATCATGAATTTGGGGCCGAGAAGCATTAAATTTCGCTCGATGGCAAGGTTTTAGGTCGGGGGTAAGGGGTGGGTAATTTGTTATGGGAAGAAATGACGATATTTTGTTTTTATTCGAATAATTTTTAAAAAGGGCACTGATGGGGGGGCAAGTGCTACTTCAAAAAAGGAAGTCTTTACAAAATATCCCCCCCCCACTACTCCTATGAAAAATGGTTAAAAGCGGGAGAGGGTACACGGAGATGTAGTAACGGTTATGAAGTGGGCGCGCTTTCATTTCCTCAGAAAGGCTCAATGTCACCTAAGGAAAGCCTTCACCTGCCCTCCAACCCCACCGTCCCACACCCCTTCCCGCTGGATACGCCACTGCTCGCTCCCTATCGGTATTTGTTCACAGTCAAGAAACTGATGAGCACTGCATGATGAACATTATATACTTGATGATGAACCATTCTGCCCCCAAATTCATGTCGATGAGGGTTTAATGTGACGTAGAAACATCCGTGTGAGGAGTAAATAACCACGCTGTGGTTGACTGATTCTTTTCAATGCTCGCTAAGAAGGCATGCCTATCCTTTCGGCGTGATATATTATACTTGAATAATATTGAACAGCTTGCTTTTATGCTGTCAAAAGCTTTAGGACTATGGGCTGCCTGCGCCAACAAAGAGGGCGCCCTTTTACCTAGCAACGACGTCTCATGGGTGGGACATTTAGCTGGTTGACGCGCACCGTTCCTTGAGTGTGACGCACGTACACCAAGGGATTTGTACACGCAGTGGTACGGCTGCGCGTAGCGGCAAAATTGCAGTCAGGCAAGATGGCGTCGGTCGGTCACCCCCAACTGTGCTTTCTTTGCCGGTGAGGGGGGTTTTGTGAACGGAGCAGATAGAACGAGCAGGCTACCTGCAGCGCATCTTCACATCTCATCTGGAGCTCCAAGCGGACAGTCATCCATTGCTGAGCCTACGGTGCGCAGCCAGACTGAGACCTTGAGTGCAGAAAAAACATGCAAAACAGGATCAGGTAAACTTTACTCAATCTCTAGCTGTCAAAATTCTTCAAAAATAAATTCATGGAGCAACTAAAACAAGGTCCTCAGGAATTCACCAGCCAAGTTTGAGGTCATAATTCAATTGTTAAAGGAGACGTTTAATGAACATATTGCACCTGAGAGTAAAGAAAAGTGTTTTGAAATTGAAGTATAAGACTAGAATGGTACATGTCCAACTTTTTGAAAAGATTTACCTTCTGGTGGCAGCGAGAAGAGAGAACGTGTAGAAACTGAGACTGGGTACATGACTGATGGTACATCAAGGGTGTTGGACTGGTTGTTTCATGTGCCAGTCTGTATTCTTGTGTTGCATGTTTCTACTATCACAACTTTTGGGACTCTCATACACAGTACATGTATTGAGAATCCCAAATTATTTGGACTGGTGCACAGCAAATGCAACTTGTCTTACTGTACAATGTACTCTTTAATTTAACAGTTTCACCAAATATCCAGCTTGATTACGTGCACAAAAACAAACATTTCGAGTACTCGTACTCGAAATGACGGTACTCGTACTCGGGCAGCTAAGTACTTGTACTCGACATGTCGGGGGCCATAGAAGGAGCGTTCTCGTTGCGGTCCCTGTCAGGTATTTCACCTGCGAATCCTTCTACCACATCACACCACTACTACTATTTGAACTTTGCCTAGTCACTATGGTTACCAATGACCAAAATGTGGATGGACCTCAGCGTCATCAACACGGGTCCTTGTCAGGACCGGCCCTGAGCATCGTCTCATCCAACATTGAAGGTCTCACAGGCGCCAAGCAAGATCTTCTGGCTGAACTTTGTGTGCAGAATAACTGTGACATCCTCTGCCTCCAGGAAACCCACCGAGGGCCTGCACGTAACCGCCCACGTATTCCTGGTATGACGCTGATAATAGAGAGACCTCACGACCAGTATGGCAGTGCCATCTTTGTGCGTAGCGGACTTACAGTGGATAAGTTCTCTCTTTCAGAGACTGACAACATTGAAGCCCTTTCTATCTGCCTCATGGGGATTTCTGTTAGCTCAGTCTATAAACCGCCAAACGAGACATTCAACCTACCCAATGCACCTACAGATGGCCGTGTAAATGTGGCTATTGGGGACTTCAACAGCCATAACGTCGCTTGGGGATATGGAGAAACGAACGAAGATGGTGAAAACGTAGAGAACTGGGCAGATACAAACCAGATGTCACTCATACATGATGCAAAGCTTCCCCCCCCCCTCTTTTCAACAGCTGTAGATGGAGACGGGGATACAACCCTGATATGGTGTTTGTTTCTAACTGCATTGCCAATCAGTGTGAGAAGGTTGTGCTGAACCCCATCCCCCACACCCAACATCGACCAATCGGACTCAAAGTGAACGCCGTCATCACTCAAAGAACAGTCCCCTTCCGCAAGCGCTTCAACTTGAGGAAGGCAAACTGGGAAAAGTTTGCGAAGGACCTTGACTCCTACATCCAAGACCTGCCAGCCCTCCCGACCCACTACGACACCTTCGTAGAGCTGACCAAAAAATCGTCAAGGGAAAACATCCCCCGAGGCTGCCGCACCAGCTACACCCCAGGTCTGACAGATGACTCCAAAGTGCTGTACAATGACTACGAAAAACACTTTCAGGTCGACCCTTTTAGTGCTGATACTCTTGAATGTGGTGAGAATCTGACCAAAGCCATTACAGAAAGCAGACGGAGGAGATGGCAAGAGTTTATCCAGTCCACAGATATGACTCATAACAGCAGGAAAGCGTGGAAAACAGTTCGGGTTTTTGGAAACGATCTCACAAAGACTCAACCTAGGCCGCAAGTTACTGCCGACCAGGTAGCCCACCAACTCCTTGTGAACAGCCAGGGCAACCCAGACCACCATCCGAGAAGAGCCAAGCTCCCAAAGACTGCTGACACTTCAGAGTTCACAAGACCCTTCTGCATGAGTGACCTATGCAGTGCTATCAAAGCCATGAAGAGTAACAAAGCAGCCGGACTTGACGACATCCTCTGCGAGCAGATAAAACAGCTTGGACCTGCTGCGCTTCAGTGGCTGCTTGACATGTACAATGACTGTATGAGTACCAACAACATCCCTAAGGCATGGAGGAAAGCCAGAACTATTGCTCTACTCAAGCCCGGCAAAGACCCAGCCAGCCCTAGGAGCTACAGGCCCATCTCGCTCTTATGCCAGACTTACAAGCTGTTTGAAAGACTCATACTCAACCGGATCGCCCCCTTTGTGGACGAGTGCCTTATCCCCCAGCAGGCAGGCTTCAGACCAGGAAAGTCCTGCACGAGCCAACTTCTGAACCTCACGCAGTTCATCGAAGATGGGTACGAGGAAGGCCTGATCACTGGAGCCGCCTTTGTTGATCTCTCTGCGGCATACGATACAGTGAACCACAGAATCCTCACCAGCAAGATCTTTGAGATGACAGGGGATGTGAGGCTGACAGAATTGATCCAGAATTTGCTATCAAACAGGCGCTTCTTTGTGGATCTAAACGGCAACCGTAGCAGATGGCGCAGACAGAAGAACGGCCTCCCGCAAGGAAGCTTCCTTGCCCCTCTGCTATTCAACATCTACACCAATGACCAGCCATTACACCCCAATACCAGAAGCTTCCTGTACGCCGATGACCTGTGCATAGCCACTCAGAAGCACTCGTTCGAGGAGGTGGAAAGGCCTCTCAGTGATGCACTTGCAGATCTTACTCCGTACTACGCTGCCAACCATCTAAGGGCCAATCCTGAGAAAACCCAGATCAGTGCCTTCCACCTGAAGAATCGAGACGCTCAACGAACACTGAGAGTAAGATGGCATGGGAGACTTCTTACACACTCTCACAAGCCCATCTACCTAGGCGTCACCCTAGACCGCTCCCTCACATACAAGGACCACATTGCCAAAACTAAAGCAAAAGCTGGAGCCAGAAACAACATCTTGAGGAAGTTGGCAAACACCAGTTGGGGAACAGACGCCAGAACCATTCGTACAACAGCCCTTGCTCTGTCATTCTCTGTTGCTGAATATGCGTCCCCAGTCTGGAGCAGATCATCGCATGCTGCTAAACTCGACCCAGTTCTGAACACTGCTTGTAGAGCCATTTCTGGATACCTAAAACCGACAAGAGTAGACGATCTGTACCTGTTGTGTGGAATTGCTCCCCCATATATCAGACGGGCAGTCGCATCACAGATGGAGAAGCGTAAGCAGGAGAATGACCCCTTACACCCTCTCTTCGAGCACAAACCAGCCAAAAAGAGACTGAAATCAAGGCACAGCTTCCTTCACAGCAGCAGTACTCGGGGGAAATGGTATAGCTTCACTTTTATAGTACACCATATGGCCTTATTTTATCGATACTTTTAGTTTGAAATGGTTGATTGGATTGTGGAGAAATCGAAGTTTCCTGATTTTCCTCTGTGCACGTCCGGACAAACACATTTAACAGCTAGCCGCGGGTGGGTCTGTATATCGGTCTGACTGGGCCTGGGCCAATTACGCACAGTGAACCATTTGCCGTATGGAGGTATTCGGAATAGAAAATTTCATACTCGTACTCGTACTCGTACTCGGAAGTACAGTACTCGTACTCGTACTCGGAGGTAGGCTCGTACTCGGAGACCTGTTCTTGTACTCGGAGGTACTCGTACTCGTACTCGTACTCGGCAACCTTAAAGTTCTCGGCAGTACTCGGTACTCGGAAAAAAGTACTCGACTACAACACTGGTACTTCGTCAGCCAAATAGATGTCGATCTCGTTTCGAATTTCATGACCACAAAATCAAGAGGTGATCCCCCAAATTAAAAGTCATTCTCAAATGTCCTTGTAACAAATTCCCGTTTCGAAAATAACTTTGATATCCCAAGTTATAACTTATGAGGCCAGCAACTGATTGTAGCGATCAGAGATCTTGTGTGTGTGATATCCCGATGTGGGGACTTTACCAAGCATCAACGTAGAAGTAGAAGAGAAATCCATCAACCCTCAACATTTGTGTACATACAAAACCATATAATTAACATAATGATCATCAAATGGCAAATCCTGTTTTAAGATAACGTAATCGGAAAGTGTTTTCAACACCGCAGCCAACTTGCTAGAAATATTGTATCCGCCTTTGCTAATGTACGCTGTTTTTCGATGGCTTTATTTACTGCTGGAAACAAGTCTACAGGCAAGGCATGGGCAAGGCAAAACATCAGTGCCGTGTCAGATGTAAACTGTTTTTCAACATTACCTCTCTTTAATCACAATTCCGACCCACTTATACTAAGACCAACCCGTTCCAACTAGGCCAAAAAAAAGTCTCCGGTTTCTGGTATGCGCGCACGTCGCCGTAGCCATGCGCGTCGGCAAAATGAAAAAAAAAAAATCAATGAAAGATGATTTCTCAAAACCGCCAAACTCACTGTTTTGACTGGAATCCTGCTGCTGCACAATTTTAACGTGTTTTTAGATGGGGTTATGATCGAGAATAAGCTTTATGTGGCCTCTCTGGTCTCACATAATATTTGCACTAAGTTTAGTCGGGCACCATTTTGCAGTCATCAGCCGATGCGGTACCCGCTGCTATGTACATCAGATTCGAACCGGCCAACCAATCCCGTTAGCTCGGTGGTCGAGTGGTAAGACACCTGCACTAGAAAGCAGGAGGTCGTGAGTTCCAGTCCCACCCGAGTGATTTTTTTCCAACTTTCACTCTGGAGGTAACAAACTGAGTATACAGTGTTTAAAAACGTCGGTGAAGGGCAAAACCTAATTTGATTTAATTTGATTTATTAATCAGCTGTTTCGGCTCACCAATAAGTATACCACTAGTACTAACGTGTAATGGCAATTTACTTAGACCCAAAAGTATTATTCATTTGAAACAATAGTGATTTTTGAATACGGATTTTTGGCTTCAGGAATACTGATTTTGAATTTTGGAGGTTGGCAACTCAGTAACATTTGCACCACATATGGTTTCCTGCCCACCGGACTCCCAAAATGTCTCGGTGTTTGCTCTCAGTTCTCTGCCCCCCCCCCCATACCTTCCTGTGTAAACCGGCACCCCGGGAACAAGACGATTCCTCTTCCTTGCCTTTGATCCCGTGATGCCGAGCTGGAGGTCATGACCATGCTGGCCTGCTTTGCCACACTTTATCACTAGGTGCTATGGGACATAGCACAGGTACTGGGGTTCCCTGAACCTGAGACCCCGACTCCTACAGCAGCGTTTGTTCGAGCATGAATGGCTTCAAACTCACTATAGCAAACTCACTCACCCCTGATCCCACTCTGGTGGTTCCCTTTGATCGGGTTTGTTTTCAGCAGATCCAGTCGGTGTTCGACCAATCCAAACTGTGTTACCGTCTGCGTTTCCCGAGTCTGTACTCCTTACCAGTGGATGACACGACCCTTACTTCACCATAATGGGCCAGGGGGCAATTGTGGGGCAAGGAAATCTAAGCGTAGGGTACACAGATAACTAAATGGCAACTAAAAGCCTAGGTACGCGCGTGCATGCCCATTGTCAATGGTCCGGAAATATGCCACTAGAGCAACTTAGAAGTTTTACGAACAAGAAATGTAACCACAGAATGGTGTACACGAAAGTATAACAAAATGTACAAAAGCGTTGACTGCACACTATCTACAGCTGTGCGCTTGTGTGGCTTGGTTTTGCTACCAAAGTACCAATGTTAATTATAATGCTTTCATTCGCCCAAAATGTGTTCACAAAGCTGATGATTCGATCACTCTGTATCTTCAACTTGTTATGAATCATAACAGCGAAGAAAATAAACCAAATTAATGTACCGGTACAATCTGTAGATTAAAGTGTTAAAGGAAAAACGGGGGGGGGGGGGGGGGGGGGGGCAAGTAAACAACTTCATGGGGGGGGCAAACCCGCGGTCAGGTTATAGAGTTCACAAGACACCCCCCCCCCCAATCAGGCAAATTTAAACACCTGCCCAACTCTACTGTGCCCTCTCAACCCCTTCATAATTATATTTCACATCTAAGAAAATATGCAGCACCAAAAATAATAAAGACTGGAAAGCCAATTTAATAAGCTACATTTCGATGAAAAAAATACTGAAATTGTCTAATCCGTTCAAAGAATATCACACAATGACCCTAAGACCTATTTTGTCCAAAAATGCGATTTCAAGAATCATCATCTCAATTGTCTTCAAACATCACCAACGATAAAAGCTCAGTTTAAAAGTAAAAAAATCCTTTTAAAGGCCCGTCTTTAAAAAAAAGGGGGATTTATAAATTATATTGTTTGCCTAACAAGGGTTGTTAATAAAGATATTGTGCACTACAGTTGTTGACAATTCTGTATTCTCTGTCATTGTCTTTGTTGTTCCAAACAGTAAGAATACACAATAAATTGCTTTTTGTTTTGGACGAAAGAGGTTTTAGGGTCATTGTGTTTAAATCTTGATATTCCTTGAACGAATTGAGACATTTTAGTAATGTTTTCATCTAAAAGTAGCTTAATGAAAATGGCTTTCCAGACACTATCATTTTTGGTGCTTCGTATTTTTTCAAATATGAAATATAATTTGGGGGGGTTGGGTTCCGCTTTTTTTGACTAACCCTGTATAAAAACCTGTTTCTGCATATTTTTTTTCTTCATTTGAAGAAAAGAACCTGGATCAATCATTGATTTTAGAAAATTGTCAAAGCAAGGTTTGTACAGTATAAAGTGATATACGTCAAGCACGTATTCACCTCAATTTTACAAAATATTCCGTCATTGAAAACATTTTTTTAATGTGTAGCTTAAAGCTATAATCTAATGCAAAACTAAATGTAAAAATGTTTTTCTCCAACTGTGACAAACACTGCTTCCTAATTTTATTTTAGTAAGTACTAATTCTTTCATCTAGCGTAGCCATGGGCGTCGCGAGGGGGGGGGGCAAGGGGGGCATTTGCCCCCCCCCCCCGGAAAAGCAAAAAAAAAAAAAAAAAAGGAAGAAAAAAAGAAAAGAAAAAAAAAAGAAAAAGAGGCGCAAAGACGAAGTGGTGTAAATTTAATGAGTTGGGGGGGGGGGGCAAAATGTCCCTGCCCCCCTCTAAAACTGGTAAATCGAGAATGTGTTGAGAAATACAACAATTTTTTTTGGCAAAATTTTTTTTTGCCCCCCTCTAGAAAAAATCCTGGCGACGCCCATGAACGTAGCCACAATGAATTTATGACATCGTCTTTTCAATCTTGTGAATGTACATGCAATCAGTGAAATCATCCAAGTCTCACACATGAAAATTATTTTTAAATGCGCATGCAACAATCATTGATGGGTTTAGAAATTTTGTGTTTTTCATCTTCAAAAAGTAGGACATTCTCTAAACTGGAGAAAGCTGATTGATTGTTTTCTAAGATCGCAGTTTGTGCTCTATAAATTGTTACAAATAACTGGTATGAATTGAGTTGAGTTTAATTCAAACGGGTGGAAGGTATAGTTTGGTTACAGTGAATAACACTTTCCATTGCCCTGCTCCATATTTGATGCATTTTCCATCGAAATCCGGTTTGAAATTTAATATTAGACTACACATTTGTAAGACGAATTAAAAGCAGTATTTTCCCTTTCTATTTATAGCATTTGGTTTTCCACCTTGTGGGAGCTCAGTATGTCTACCATAAAACAAAACACAGTTACAGCTTATAAAGACTCTTTATTAATTATTTGTTAAATAATTAATGTAAATATTTTGTAACAATTCATCCCAGGTATTCGGAGTATAATGCAATATGGGGCCAGTACATGTAGGTTCTACATTTTACTAGAAACACTGAATTTTCAATTCTGGTTAAAATATGGGGGTTTTTTTACTTAATTACAAACAATATATTCACATGTCTAGTTAAGCATTTTGTGTTTCGCCTTCATCTTTTTGTTCTTTTTATGTGCTTTATTCTGACATGAGCATTTCAACAGATATTAAGTGTATATTCCATGTGTTCTTTGTTTCATGAAATTTTGAAATCCACATTGGTTATTTCTCTTGTATCGGAGTTATTTTGGTCGCACAGGCTCTCTTTTCAGAACAACTTTTTGATCATGTCCATTGTGCTTGATTGTTTGATTCCTTCTGATCGTGTTTAGTTACATTAAAGATTAATTTATTCACTCACACAAGAAAAATATTCGATGAATTATAGCGTAACAACCTACCCTATAATAGTATATGTACTTTATTAACTTTAATTAACACATGCAACTACTTTGCCTTTGGGAGGAATCCACGCCATTATGCCTAAGGGATGCTCGGACTTAAGTTCATTATGAAAAAGGTAGAGTCATTTTTTTCTCTCCATAGATGAACCAGTTACCAAAACAAAATAAAAAAAATATTTGGAGGTCCAAAACATACTTTTACATTTTCTTACGATACAACGGCCTCACCTCCAACACGCATGTGATAAAGTTGACCAACAGTCATAAGAAAGGAGAATGAGCGCAGCTCTCAAACATTCGACTCTGTATTAAACAACCTGCCCCGGTAACAACTAGCTCCAGTCTCCCCTACAATAAAGACATGTACTGTGCATCATACATGGCATTGAATTTAGTGAATTCGAAGCTGTATTTGATAACAACAATGACAGGTATTTTGATGATGAATAATACAATATAATACAAAGCCAGAGGGGTACCGGAGCTTTTGCCAACATAATTATGAGTGTGAACGAAAACTTATTCGGAAAACATCGGTCGTTTTTGGAAACGGACAAGATCTTGCTTGCTTTGATCAAGGATGCGGCCTTAAAGATTTGCCAGATCCTTTAACCCCCGAGATTACTCTTTCTGACAAAAAAAGTCGCATAAAAGTGAAGCGCCCCAGCTCCTGCGGTTGTCGCACCACGTACATGTGATAGCTTTCACCATATCTGCCAAATTTTAGAAATTCTTTTTAAAAATTTGAAAAAGTATGATTGTGCCCCCCTCGTTTTGCGAAGACTTCAAATACTTGAAAAACGTATTCGTACATCAAATTACTACACAGAAATACGTATTGACAAAGATGACCGTAACATGAGTGTCTTTTGGGATGAAAAAGGCTGTTCTAAATTTGTTGCTCGATGGAAAATTTCAACCTGTCCCAGTTAACCGGACCAGATGCTGCAGTGAATGGGTTCAACAACATGTCGATTTCATCAGGGATCTCTGAGTCGTCCCGAAGCACCGGTATTACCACACGACTGCGCCTACTCTCTTTCCTCAGCTTGAGCGCGTAGTGCATGGAAGCCTCGCACTCAGACATGAAATCTTGATTGACGACCAATAAGATGCTGGCACTTTCTTTCATTAGATTGATCTCACTTAAGATCTTCATTGATCCAGCCGGGGCATCCCTGTCACGCGTACACCCCTTCAGGTTCCGGATCGCCTCCAGCTCGTTCAGCAGGTCGTAGGACACCCAGTCTCTCTCGCTCTTAGGATAGACCACGATGAAATCATACTTGAAATCAGGGACGCGGGCCTCCTTTGGTGCTTCCTTGATTGGTTGCTCCTTGACCTCCTCTGCAGGTTCTTGGATGGTTGGCGATGCTTCCTCCGCTGGCCCACCCGTGACGCTGGCTCCTGTATTCTGCATGTCCACCTCTTCTTGTGGGGTCCCTGCCCCTTCATAACGCAATGTACGAAGCATAGGGCGTACATCATGCGAGATGCTTGATATTTTAGCAGACCTCAGCTCTACTGACTGCATGTGCCTTTTCCCAGAGACGTTTCCGCTGTGAATGTCGAAGGTGTGTGCAAAGGCCTGTTCGGCTAAGCACCTGGCTTGAATACGTCTTTGCTTCCTCAGTGCTTTAACAATAATTGAATCATCTCTTTGGGTCGCCATTTCGACCGGGCGAAGAAGACGGTGCCACATCTCCCTGTAGTTCTCTGCCTCGGCCAATTTGAAGAGCTTCTCCAAGACATACTGGAGGTTGGCCAGTGAATTCAGGTTCTCCGGCAGTAGTATGATATGGGAGGGTACCAGACTTTACCCCTCCCTGCCCCCTTTTCCACCCCTATGATCCCCCTTCTCCACCCCCACCCGCCCCCTCCCCCTCCCCCTCCCAATGATCCCCCTCCCAATATCTCAGTCTCAGCCCCAAGCCAAAACCGGGGCCCATTATCTCTCGTCTTGAAGATCTGTCTCTCACCAGCCGGTGAGTCTGATTGCTTATAAATCCAAAAGTCTGACCTCTTAAAAAAAATTTAAAAAGATTATATTGATATATATATATAAATGATGAATATGATCAAGCCAATCGTTAAGGGATTTTCCAGATGGAATAAAGCGACGCTGCGCGATTACGTCCAGCGATATAATGTACCGTACAATCAAAATGTTGCTCTTACGCGTAAAGTCTACATCAACGGGATAAAAAACTACGAAGCTCGATTTAAAAACTTGAGGAA